CTTCTGGTTCTACAGGGAGGAGAGAAATCCACACGCAGCAGACAGCTGCTCCCGAGCCAGGCCCAGAGCCACCCCTCTCCCAGCCAAGGAGCCCAGACGGGAAATGTGGCTGTGCAAAGCCCACATGGCGCTCTCCGTGCTAACCCCACTCCACCCACCATTTTCTGGAGCTGACAGAGACGGGAAATGAGTCCCCAGCCGCGGGAGCAGGGCGGGCCAGAACGAGATGAGGCACAGCGCCCTCACGGGCATGAAGGTCAAGCTCAGCTCAGTGTGATGAGCTGCAGCTAGCACTGATGCTTGCGAGTGCTTGAGGCTTTCCTAAGAGAGCAGAGGTGGGGGTGGGGCTAGACACTCGGGTCTGGTCAAGGTTGATCGACTCAAGCGCCCCCGCCGGGGGTTTCCTCCCTGCTGAGAAAGCTCTCTCAGGCCCACTCGCTGCCCCCTTCCCGCTGGCCAGGCCGGCCGCCAGCCCCAGGCAGGGCCTGTGAAGAAGGGAAGGGCGCTCGCTGGGCTTGGCGACGGGCTCGGGGAATAGGTGATGGCTGTGCGCCCCCACGGGCCCCAAACTCTCACCCAAGTCAACTGGCGTCGGGCCACATGGCTCCTGCTCAACTCCCACTGGCCGTGGCCATGTCCAACGGGGCCAGGTCCCCCAGGGAGCTGTCCAGGCAAGGGAGACCCCACTGCTGCCCCTTGACCATCCCCCCAGCCCCAAGCAAGCATGGGGTCCCCGCCATGCGGGGGTGGCGGCCTTGAGCCCGCGGGGGAGTCCTTCTGTGGGAATGAGGTTTGCTTTGTCGGGCGTCGCTGGTAGACGCCTGTGGGTACATCGTGGTTGAGGACAGTTTTGTCTGGTGCAAAGCGAATTTTGGTCAACGTCTACATTCGCAGAGAAATGGAAAGAAAAATAATCAGGAATTGTATATGGAGGAATCAAAACCCGTGGCCATGGACAGAAATCTCAGAAGCTCGGGGAGCGTGTCCATGTCCGTCGGTAAGTCAGGGACAGACGCTGGCCCTGGACGAGGCGCCACGCGGGCCCTCCCGCTCGCCAGCCTGCCTCCGGCTCTTGCCGGGCTGCGGCTGCCTGGGTCTGTGGGTGGACGCTGGCCCCGGTTGTGCGGCAGGGAGGGCGGGAGGAGGCAGGGCGTCGATGCGCGTGGGCCACCAGAGAGCCCGAGTCTGGGACAGGAAGACCTTCTCCAGGCCCAGCACCGCCACCTCTCCCCTCCCTCATTCTGGGCTTGCAGGTGCCCTCAGTCTCAGCTTCCGCCTGTTCTTCACCCAAATGTGAAGACAGGGAAGACAGGGTTTCCCAGACTATCTCAAAAGCATGCTCAGATCTCAAAAGGGCACCTAGGGGCCCTCCCTGGTGGCACATCGGGTCAGGGCGCAGCACTGCAAGCCGGCCGCAGCCGCTTCAGTGCGAGATCGGGCAGGGCGCGGCAGACCTCTCCTGTCTCCCCGCTGCCCCCTCAGCAGTGGACTTTATCCATCGGCCTCTTCTGCTCCCCGCTCTGTCTCTAGGGAGTCCTCTCGCCGCCCCTGCACCTCTGGCCTGGACCCCAGCTCTGTGTGCATAAATAGATGAACTTAAACAAACTAAAAGGGCACATAGAATTTCTCAAAACCAGGTGGACTGACACAGAGTGGGACCCCCCACCCCGCACCCCCACGTAGGCAGAGCGTGCCCGGTGCTGTCTGCAGGGCACCCGCGAGGTCGGGGCCGGGAAGCAGGTGATGGCCCCGCTCACTGCCCTGCCCAGGCTCTGCGGGCGGGAGCGTCCTCACGCTACTGCCCACCCAGGACGACGCCAGCAAGTCGACCCTGTTACCGAGGCTGAGGAATTGCCCGAAGCCGCGCAGCGGGGAGCAGGCGAGCCGGGCAGGCGCAGGCTCTGTGGCGGGAGGACGGGGTCGGCGAGGTTTCCCAGTGCAGCAGCCCAAACCAGGTGGCCCAGTCACCTGGGAGCTTCTCAAAAATGCGAATTCCTGGGCTCCCCCATGGGTCATCGAGGCCTCGGGGAGGGGATGTGCTTCAGCTCCCGAAGACAGTCAGGAGCCGGGAGAGGGGCCCTTCCCTCCCCCCGTCCACGTCCACGTCCACGGAGGAGCCTGAGCCCCAAAGGCAGTGACTCCCGCCCCACCCCGCAGCCAGCCAGACTGCTCGCACACGGCCGCTGTCGCAACCGCCACTTCTCCCGAAGCGGAGGCTCAGCCAGAGTCGCTGGGCTCTGCGAGATGAAACGCCACTTCCCGTGTCTGCGCCCCCGGCTGCCTGTGCCACAGAGGAAGGGATGGTGCCACACCACGAGCGCGGGCCTTTCCGCAGGGGCCGGCAGCACCTCACGCAACTTGGGGGCTGGAAGCCACAGGCTCTTTGCCACGGCTTCTTCCGGACTGGAGGGTTGGTTCCAGAAGTGACCGCAAAGCCCTGCACTTCCAGGAGATGGGCGGCGGGACTGCTTTTCTCTGAGCCCCCAGCCCAGCCCCCGCAGCCCCCTCAGCCCCAGCCTCCGGCAGCCCCAGCGCCCCCCAACAGCCCCAGCACCCCCTGCAGCCCAGCCCCCGCAGCCCCCTCAGCCCCAGCCTCCGGCAGCCCCAGCGCCCCCCAACAGCCCCAGCACCCCCTGCAGCCCAGCCCCCGCAGCCCCGCCAGCCAGAGCGGCGACGAGCCGTCAGCCACCAACACTTGCATAAAACACACAACAGGCAGCCGCCACCAGCTGCTCTGGAGCCTGATGAATAATTTAGACACAAATTACCCTTCTCCAGATGAGTCCACGCAGTGATTCTCACCGCGAACACCCCGCTGCCAGCCCGCCCGCCGCAGGCTGGGCTCCAGCACCTTCCATCCCAGTCTAAGAAGCCTTCAGCTGAGCCAGACCTGAGCCGGGACTCAGCGCTCCTGGCCTCCCCCTAAAAGGGGGGCTGGGCAGCCAGCTTCTGCCTCACAAGCTTTCCGCTGGGCGCCACCCACCAGCCGGGGCTCTAAAGTGTGGTTTAAAGAGTCGATTTCTGGCGGGAACATAAATCGGTACAAGCACAATGGAAAACTAGGTGGAGGTTTCTCTAACTGCTAAACATGGAGCTTCCCTATAACCCAGCAATCCCACTCCTAGGTGTCTACCCAAAGACACAAAAACATCCATGCAAAAGGACACGTGCACCCCCATGTTTATTGCTGCTCTATTCACATTAGGGAAGATGTGGGATCAACCCAAATGCTCAAAAGTAGATGACTGGATTAAGAAGATGTGGTTCATAGACATCGTGGAATATTACTCAGCCATCAAAAAGATAAACTCATGCCTTTTGCAACAACATGGATGGAGCTGGAAAAGATCATGCTTAGTGAAGTAAGCCAGAAGAAAAGGGAAAATACTGGATGGGGGACCTCCCTGGTGGCGCAGCGGGTTAAAACACAGCACTGAGAAGCTAAAGCCACTGCAGCATGAGTTCGATTCCCGCCTGCCCCGGAGGTGACCACATGACGCGGCAGACCTCTCCTGGCCCGCCCGCTGCTCCCCTCAGCAGTGTACTTCGTCGATCTGCCTGTTCTGCTCCCCACTCTGTCTCTGGTGAAGCCTCTCGCCGCCCCTGAGCCTCTGGCCTGTACCCCAGGTCTGTATGAACAAATAAATAAATCTTTAAAAAAAAAAATACTGGATGGTTTCACTCATAGTAGAAGCATATGGCATCAGAAAAAAAAATTGTAATAAAGTAAAAATGAAAGACAATGAACAACTATAAACCAAGGTGACTATAAACTATAGGCCATGGGAGTGAGGAAGGATCAAAACTGGGGCAGGACGCGCACAGGACTGTGGCGGTGGCACAGGGGCGAGCTGGCGTGGGAAACCCACAGGGGTTACAGCCAAGATGAGAAAATGCACAAAATGGAGAATGATGGGAAAAAATAGTCGATTTCATGCCATTTGGTGCTAATGCGGTTTCTTTTGTTTTGTTTTGTTTTTAATCTTCCCTTGCAACGCTTACCCCAGGCTTTATCATATTTAAATAGTGTAAAAGGAAGCTGGGTGGGAAGTGGCTGCTTCCGGGGTGGGGCAGGGAACGTGCGCAGGGGAGTCTGGAAGTTCCCCACGAGCCGAGCGCCCAGAAACCAACAGGACAAAACCCAGGACGAGCCAGAGACAAAATTAATCGGTGGAAAGGAACAAGAGTGTGCTGGAAGGGACTGCCCTGCTGGCCAAAGCTGGGCTGATCTGAGACCGAGATGAACAGTAACAGGTGGAAGTTACAAAGCAGTAGAAATAAGTCGGTGGAAAGGTGTGAAGAAGATGAAGTCGAGGAGGGTGAAAATGAGAGGGGCCCTCCCCCTCACAGAAGAGTGCCAAACAGATACATCCAGGAAAGTGGCAGGACCAGAAAACCCCTCTCTTACACCCACCAGGGGGTCATGGGCCCAGGCAAGCACTTGCCCGAGAAAGCAAAAGCGAGTAGGTGTCAGGAGGGGAGGAGACAAGGTGCACACAGGACCTCGGGGATGTGTCCCTGCGCAGGGGCCTTTCCCACGGGGGTGCGGGGGTGCAGGGCTTAACCAGATGCGCGGCCATGTGGCCGATACAGAGACCGTTGGCTGTGTGCACACCAGTCACCAGGTCTTGGCAAAAATACTGAGCCCAAATCAAAGCATGTCAGAAAAACTCAAGGCAATCCAAGTTGCAGGTCATCTTGCAAAAATGGGCTGGGCTTCTCAAAAAATGTTTATTGTGGGTGACAAAAACCAGGGCGATCATTCGAGATTGAAGGGCCTGGAGAAGCCCTCACAGCCCAGGGCAAGGTGAGGTCTCTGCTGCGCTGCAGTCTGGCGGGCAGGAGAGACTCTTCCCCAGACGGAGCACCGTAGTGACGGTCTACTAACGTCAGGCCTGCTGCCGACTCGCTGTGGCCATGGAGAAGGTTGTGTTGTCCAATATGCGTGCGCAAGTGTTTAGGGGCAAAGGGCCACACATGCACCAGCTGACTCCCAAGTGGCTTGAGCACTTGAAGGAAAATCCACACTGAGAGAGAGGAGACCCCCAGCTGGGTTTCTATCCAGGGCACAAGAACGCCAGTTCAAAAGGAACCTGCACGCCTACATTTACCGCAGCATGGCTTGTACCAGCCCGAGGTGGGGCCCACCCACGTGCCCCAGAATGGAGCAGTATCAAGAATGGAGCATGGGTCGCGAAGAGGTGGCCTGTGTACGTGGGATTCCACTCAGCCGCCCAAACGGTCAGCCTGTGCCACTGAGGAAGAGGACGCATCTGCAGGGGTGATGCTCAGTGGTCCAGTCCTACTGGGAATAAGCTACATCTCTTGCAAGCATGAAGCTCCAGTAAATTAGATTTCTGCGTCCCTGACTCTCAGAAGTTCTGGGGTCTCGGTCCACGTCCTTCTAGGCAGGAGCTTGGGTTCCCAGTGCCTCTTCGCCCTCTGCCTGCCTCACATCCACTCATGCTCTGGTTGTGGCGTCCGTCTGCTCTCTGGGGGCAGCACGGCTGGAGACGTGAGACCAAGGCCTGGCGTCAGGAGCGAGCTTGTGTGGCAGGAGGGAGCCCCAGGAGCTACCTGTTGGGTGCCAAACAGGCCCAAACAGGAGCCCCTCCTTGCTGAAGCACTAACTCCTCCTGCTCAGAACGGACCTTCTCTGGAAATAGAGTAGTAGATGAAGGTGGAGGTAAGGTATCGGAGGCTCAGTTTAGTTAAGACGAGGCCAACCCGAATAGAGGACCCCCCACCAACGACTGGTGTCCTAACAAGGAGAATCTGGGCACAGACAAGCACGCAGGGAGGCCGCCACACGAGGGTGAAGACAGACGCCAGGTGCCACATCTACCTGCCGGGTGAGCAAAGATGGCCCCAAACCACCCGAAGCTAGAGAGCAGCGAACAGCTTCCCCCTCACCTCCTCAGAAGGAATCGGCTCAGCCACCTTCGTCTCACATCTCCCACTCAAGAACCGAGAGTATAAACTTCCGTTGCTGCAGCCCCCAGTGTGGAACGTGGCTCGGCCAGTCCAGGACACCCGCCATCCGGGCGCCACACCGCGGAGGCAGGCCCGGCTGTGCGCTGGTTTGGGGTGACTGCCGGGGCCACCTCCCAGCCTTTGCCAGCTCCACAGACATCAAATTCCCAGCCACACAGCAACCCTGTCACTCCACCCGACCACAGAAACGACTGCATTCTGCACAGGACTGCGGGCAGGATGTTCTGGTCAATGCCTGAGAAGTTTGTGTCTTTGGTGAGTGCATATGACTCCAATTGTATTACCATCATCCTTGCCATCATTATCTTGCTGTTCCCTGCACCATGGAAGGTCGTAAGTAAACATGTTTTCACGGTGGGAAAAGCTTTGGGCCAGGAAACGCTCCCCCAAGCCCCCAGCCCCTGCTGCCCGTCACTGGGCCTAGAACCTGTCACGTCTCCCCTACTCCCTTCCTGAAACTAAGCCCCCACCCCCAGGTTTCCTCATTGGCACAGGTGACTCTGCCCTGTGTACCCCCCGGCTCCGAGAGGGCCTTACTGGAACTCAGACTTTAAACTTAGGCCACTAGTCACGAAATATTACGTGGACTCTCAAACACCGATAGACTTGCTAGGTAACCGTGAAACATCATAGTTCCACTAAGATTGGAAGCATCCAGAGGACCTGAGGGGGAACTGTCCTCAGGCCTGGAAGCGCAGGCTCCATCCTGGCTGGGGATGAGCTCCTGGAACCCAGTCAAACTGGAGAACAACATCGAATCCACACACTCGGCTTCGGCGCTGACCTCGATAATAACTGATGGGTGGTAACTGTCAAGGCTCATGCATGAGGCGAACACAGACACACTTGAAGATGGAATTTTAAAAGCAAGTGGAACTGCAGACGAGGAGTGACACTGCCAGTGACTTGTCCCCATCACCACGTTTCTGTGACATCAAGGGGACCCTACAATTTGTTGATCACGCAGCAGGACACACAAAAGTATAAGCACAAAACAAGTCACTTACTTTACAGAGAGCGGAAGTCCTCACTTACCGGGTGGAACCACAGTCAGGTTGATAGTGACAGCCTTGTGGGCCATCAGCTCCTTGAAGCGAGCCACGCAGGTCAACGGGCCGTCGCCCTGGGGCGTGAGGGTCAGGACACTCACTGCGCTGTGAAGGTCGTCAGGCTCCGGGAGGGAGTAGTAGCTGGAGTGGCTCACAGGAACCCCGACCTCCCAGGAAATGTCCGGGAGGGGGGTCCAGCCTGAGGCACGGCAGGTCACATTACAAGGTTCGTCCTTGACAACAGGACGGTCCGTGGGGATGTGTAGGGTCCCCATGACTGGAAAAAAAAAGGAGAAATGTGCGAATGACCATGACTTGCACTTCCAGGTTTGGTTTACGTTTTCCCTTAAGTCACCTTTCAGGAGACTTAGCTCCCCAAACCCTAACTGGCTGTGTCCTTATCGGAAACGCAAACTCAGGTTCTATCTGCCTCTACTTATACCTGCCAGGCTGGTAAAAAGGTGGATTTGCTCCCTCAAAAAGAAAAAAATCTAATTCTAGAGAAAATGAATAAATAAGCATCAGGACCCAGGAGAGCATGGCTTGGTGCTGCAGGGGTCGCATCATCTTTGAGCTGGACTTGCAAAATTGTCTTGAGCTTCCCAGCAGCCAAAGCAAAAGGGGAAATAATCCTTTCCTCTATTTCATTGTTAGAATACATCGCAGAGCCTCATGGGAAGCAAGTCTCTCCTGACCTGTGGTTGATCAGTTTACTTTATTCATCACTGGGGTCACACATTTCCTAATAATTTCCTATGACTTTGCCTTAAAACATTATTCTAGTTAGAAGCTAAATAAAAATGAATTCTCATACTAGAAATAACTAACCTAAAGCATAGATCTTATTATATCACTTAGATAAGTGAGAGTTTTTACTAAGGATCTACCTGTGGATATCAGCGTTTACACTGTCAAAAAGCCACATGGAAATGATATTTTTGTGTGCTGATCTCACTAAAATAACCAGAGGCTTGGCTGCAGGAAAGACACAGGCTTGATGAAATATATCCAGGTAGACAGACAGACAGAAAGCTGATCTAATACACACAAAGTAAATGAGCTGGACAGACCCTGGACTAAGCAACAATAAATCTGATCTCACTTCTGGCTTTTTCTAAAACTGCCCTCCCCTCAGGCAGGTCTCTGAAGTGCTCGAGTTCTGTTTTTTCGCTCTTGAAGGAGATGGTTTGATGAGATAGATCAGTGGTTTCCAAACAGTATACAGTCAAAAAATCATGGTGGGCTCAAGAGTTTTCAGTTTATGTAGGTTATAAATATCATTTTCTACTTTGAAATTCAAATGAAATATGTATTTATTTTCTGGTGTTTGTTTTAAAATAACAATAATATCCCAAGATTTGTTAATATAGAGTAACATCTTCTTATGAAAAAAAAATAGTTTAAACCAAAATAAGTCAACTTGACTCTTTTTTTTTTTTTTTTCCAACTTGACTCTTTTACATACAAGCAAATCTCCGGAAGCTCTGGTGGATTCTCACAGCTGCTTCTATGTTCAGTCTCCTGCAATGTGTTACTTTGTTCGAAGCCAGTAAAGAGAACTGAATCTCACAGATACAGAGCTGGAATATTGAGGAACACTGTGTTCTGATAATCGTGGATAATCTCTAGCGCACAGTAAAACCTAGTTGCCCGGTGGAGTCTAAAACTATGGAAAGGGCCCTTCCTGGTGGCGCAACGGGTTGGAGCCCAGCATGCACGCTGACTGCAGCCGCTTCAGTGCAAGTTCGATCCCCGCCCCGGAGGGGACCCCCAGGGCGCTGCAGACCTCTCCTGTCTCCCCACTGCTCCCCTCAGCAGTGTGCTTCATCCACCTGCCTGTTCTGCTCCCCACTCTGTCTCTGGCGAATCCTCTGGCCTGTGTACCCCAGTTCTGTATGCAGAAATAAATAAATCTTTAAAAAAGTAAATTTAAAACAAAACTCCCTGCTCCATTAGAATTCGCTGTTCTAGTTGCTGCTTCTGGAACCTGCTCTGCAATGGGCCTATCTCCGTGTGAGCTTAAAGCAAGGAGCGAAACAGCTTCCCGTCTGCCCTGGCCGCCAATGACCGCCGGAGGCGTGGGTCACACCCACCCGTGATACAGACACCGTGGGAAGAGGAGGGGGAAGAGCTGTCCGGAAGGACGCCGAGGGCTCCCGCAGGCCCTGTCGCGCCTGGCACCCAAGGGCCCGCTGCTGGGCGAGCTCTGCGACCCCACGTTGCACTTTCCCTCTGATCCTCACAGCAGGTCCACGAGGCCACCTGTCCCCAGGTTGAGGAGGAGGAAGCGGGGCCAGCTCAGGTGTCGCCAGGGACCACGGGTGAGAGCAATCAGAGCCCAGCGCCTGCCGCCTGCCGCGCTCTCGCCTGTGTCCGCCCGGCGCCACACCAAGGTGTGTCCAGACCAGCTAGCCCGTGACGGGAAGCCTCGGAAGTCACTGAGCTGGGAAACCATCGAGCCCCTAGCTGGGCCAGGCCAAGTTCAAGACACGGGAAAATCTACAAGTCAGACAAGTTCTTGTTGAATGCAAACAGGTGTTTCCATCGAATGTTATCAGGTTTGATTTGATAGAAACAAACGTGCAAATCACGGACTTTCCCCCCACAGGCAATGAATGGCCGGTAGGAAATGGACGAAGCCGGGCTGGCCTGTGGGTGTGCGCCATGGGGACCCAAGCTCCATGTGCTGCATATGTTTGGGGGTGCAAAGCCATTAGGCTTTGGCGACGATGTTCTATCAAACATCCTTGCATTTTCTAACTCCGGCATGACTTTGAGCCCCTCAAAATGATTTTAAAATGAAAAACGTGATTACCAGGACTATAAATTTTGTTTACTCTTCTCTTTTCTCTAAAAGACTGTGTGTTTAGGGGACACACCTTCAGGTACGGAGCATGCTGGGGCCAGGGAGGGGTTCTAGACTGGGGGGACCCCTTGGGACGGAGGGAAACATGAACGTGTGAGTCAAAGTTGATAATGAAGGACGAAAACAGAGACGAGAATACGAGCCACTGGAGGAACAGCAGAAACTGTCACCCGTGTGCCACTGCCCCAGAATTCCAGGGCGCATTCCAGAAAAGGAATGTACGGGCTGTATGTGGAATAGGC